CGCTTCAAGTACTGCTGTTAAATATCGCAAATTTAATAAAAGAAATCAAATTAATTTCTTTTTACACCCACAAATTTAATAACTTAAGAATATTAATCAATTGTGTTATCAACTTATCATACACCAAATATAAAATTAATTAGTTCACCCAAAATTTCTCATTAAACAACCGAAGATGTAGTTTATCCAGCATGCATGTCACGTGTGAATCCACGTTCTTTCGGATATATATATTTAGGATTCAGAAACCTTGAAACAAACTGCCAAGCTTTTAGAAATATACATAAATACCATGTTGTCAACTATATCTATAAAATATAAATCTGTCGGAACTTAATCCAACACAAAATTTAATCTGAAAGAAATTATTTGACTAATATATATATGATCCAAAATTGAATGTATTTTATTTTTTATTTTGGGGAAAAATGTCTCAATAACTTTGGCAACGATTAGTTTAGAAAAATGAAGGCCCGTTGTGCTTGCTAAAATTTACCCCATGGGGCGTGCCAATGTTTGTATTTTTTTTTTACGTCACATTTAAATTAATCTAAACTATTTGATTTACTTACAGGACTCGGTCCGTAACTAGTACACGTTAGCGCTTCATAGCATAACTATTTTTATTCTGTAATTAGTTATTTTTACGTTAATAAATATGATAATTTTATGTTACTCATAATCTTATCTTGTTAATTTGATGCATTTCTTATTTTGGAAGAGAAATTGAGAAAAGAAACAACAAATATTAGATAGAACCTCTCAATTTCTTTAAGACTACAGAATTAGCAAGTTCTCAAAACTTCTAAACCAGAAAGAAAAAAAAAAAAAAAAGATAAGAGAGGAGACAGAATTCAAAATTTTACCGTTCTCTTAAAAATATTTGATTTGGTTGTTATTATTTAATTTTAAAAATGTCAAAAAATTTACTTAATTTTAATTGAAAGATAGTCAGGACGTCACCTAATCCATAATCAAGCATCGTCCTCAAATCATTTTCTTTTAATTTTGAAATAAAATGATTTTAGGTACATACAAATAAAATAAAATAAAGAAGAATAGTGCGAGAATATTTGTGATGCCAAACGTAAAACCAATAAAGCGACATAGTTGAAATGTTTTCTTCATTTGTTTGCACTAAAATTATCTTTTGATTGATAGTTTAAGATTAATTTTTTTAAAAAAGTGCAAGAATATTCCTAACAAAGTCTTATTTTATACACATAATTAAAAATCAAACTCGTGACTGTATATTTATGAAATTTAATTATCTAATATTTACTAACCGGGAACTGTAACAAAAATTACTAACCGGGTTGAACCTTGTCGGCATAAAATTTACTTTCAAATTATTTTTGTATGTATAAATAAATAAAATAGTATGGATATATAATTACAAAATAAATATTTTATAACTTTATCGTCCCGAACATATTCTGAGACCCTCAACGCATCTCGAATAGTGGCCCATGTGATTTTCTCTCAAAAGGCCATAGCCGAGACCTTCGACACATCTCGGATGAGGATCAAAATGCATTTGCCCAACACACGAGAAGCCGACCCAAAGGATTGAGGGTAAGCTGATTTCCTTGTACAAATTACCTTTCAAGAGGATATGTTAAAATAGAATGTTATCTTTAATGATAAAGGATTAAAGTATTAAGATTGTCTATGAAAATTTTGATATTTTTGGGTCCATGAAATCTACAAATAGATAATTATAAAATCTTGAATGCTCTGACTTTGATGTCTCGTCTAAAATAAATCTTAGATATCCTCTAAACAAAAATAATAACAAATTAATGTATAAATATTTCTTTTGTTAAATTTTTACATTTTTATTATTTTAACAATTGACTTCTTTCTAAATATTAAATGATTACAACAAAAAATTAATAAACACTAAACCCATATTATAGAGATATCGATAATTTATTAAACATATAATCAACAATAAAGATAGTAGGAAGAAATGTGATTGAAATAAAATATTTCGCTAAAAATGATCAAATAAATTATCTAATAGAGATTAATCATCATTAAATATTAATTTTATTGGGTTAACAATATGCTATTAGAAAAATTGATATGGGTTAAGTTTGTGTGTTTGGGAAAACTTATTTCCCAACTTTCAGCTATTTTTTTTTTGAAAAAAAGTTGTTTGTGAAATGAGCCGACTGATTGGCACAATAGCTTAATTTTTTAAACAACTTTTTTTTCTTGGAAATTAAGTTGCTTTTATGAATTTGAAAATTTGGACGGCTTTTTCTCTCTTACAACAAATTGATTACATAAAAAATATTTTATTATATCCAAACAAAATTAAATATTTCAAATTTGTTTTTTAACAAATATATTCAAATAAAAATTTATTTTAATGGTTATCGATTATAATAATAATAATAATAATTAATTATATGTGTAATCTATTATTAAAATAATATAATTTTCATAACTTTTCTAAATACACTCTTTATATTCTGATATTATTTATTAGGATTAAATATATTTTTAACTCTTAAATTTAAGATAAATTTATTTTTGGTCCGTCAAATTTAAAATTGATGTTTTTAGTTCCTGTAATTTTAAAAAAAATTATTTTAGTCTTTATATTCAAGTTTTGTTAAGAAATTTATCAAATATAATTGTATAAAATTTACTTATTGATATCCTTGTTAGTGAAAATATTGTAATAAATTTAATTAATATTGCATAACTGTCTCAATTTATTACTTTCAAATATGTTATTGGTGATTTGAAGGATTAAAATAAAATTTTTTAAAATTACAAGAACTAAAAATAACAATTTTTAATTTGAAGGGGCAAAAACAAATTTATCTTAAATTTGAGGATTAAATTTAATCCTATTTATTATCATTATTAATATATCATAAATGCCAAGGCTTAATTGTCAAATCAAAATGAGACGTAGACACAAGAGATTGAGGGGTATTGGGGCGAACTCAACCCATGCAAGGGGATGGGATGGGGCCCAACCTAACTTGTTCTTAGAACCATCACCCAACCAAAATGAATCGGGCTCTAACAAATTAGTGAGGCGTAGTAAAATAATAAGCAAACTCAAAAACAAAAACATAACAGAGAGAGAACATTGAATAGGTCCGTCCCAACAGCAAAAGTGCACAGCACACAAAACAAAGAGGTTGGGTCTGACCCAATTCCTCTTTCAATCAGAATAATAAAAAATAAAAATAAAAAGAGATTCCTAACTTACTTTAAGGGAAATGCAGGAGTCTAACTTTTATCACCATTAGATATAAATCCAATGCCTACTATTTTTGCTACAGAGCCAAAATGGCAGCAGAGGATCCCATTGCGAAAGATAAGTAGTTATGTTTCAAATTCAAATATAATAGTTTGTGTTTGGCTAAACTAGGGGCCTAGCTTAAGTTCATCCCCAATTACATAAATTTACGTAATTTATAACATATTAGATACTCAATATACTTTGTCTCTGTATTTAATTTGAATAAATAAAATTAAGTATGAAATAGTTTTCAAATTTCCTAAAATTTTGTAAATTTGATATATTGAAAATTTTTAATTTAGTAATTAAATCATTAAAATTTAATATAAAATATGAGTTATTGGATAAAATAAATTTAAGTAAAGTTAATTTTCTTTTAAGATTAGTCAATGGGCCAAAACAATAATTGAGTTGCGTTCAAACTCCGTTCAAAAGCAAAGAAGTTTCTTCTCTCTCTTCATATAAGTTTTGAAATCTTCTAGATAGGTAAGATAATTGTAATGACACTTTACTCTCAAATTAAAAAAATATAATTTGCAAGTGTTCTGGTATTGGGGTATTGGAGATCACCGCCGAAGAACCCTTAGCGATACCGAGCTAAAAGAACTTGACAGCAATCTTGACCTAGAACATTTGATAAGAGTAACCTGCCCTCTTAGACCTAATCATTACTATATATAATGGTGTAGCGTTACAGACATGAATCGCACACTCCTCTTTATGATCCCATAAATCACGCCTCATTATGGACTCGTAACTCCCGGTATTTATTATCGTTCCCACGGATTGTGGGATTTTATTGATTGTCTGAGTGAGCCCGTGAATCTTCCCATATTTGGGTCCCTATTATGGGCTCGTCATTTTGCCGATGTGCCTCGGGTCGGCCAATGGGAGACCACCACCCTCCATGCTCGAGCACTAAGGTGCGAAGAGCATATTAGATCAATATTTTGCTGACCTACTTCGGGTCGGTTCATGGGAGACCACCACAGTACATAGCCCTCCATGCTCGAGCACTAAGGTGCAAAGAGCATGTTGAATCAACATTTTGCCGACTTACTTTGATCGATCTGTGGGAGACCATCATGGTACATAGCTCTCCATGCTCGAGCACTAAGGTGCGAAGAGCATGTCAAATCAATATTTTGCCGACCTACTTTTGGTTGGCTCATGAGAGACCACCACGGTACAGTAAGTAATTAATATAATACAATTGAATTATATATGATTTGCAGGACTAAAAGTTGTTAATCAAAGTGATTTCACACTTATATTACTAAACTAAAAATAAGACTTGATCCTTGATTTAAATGTTGAGTTGCATCTAGAAGTATCGGTTTATCTTATAATCTAATATGATAAGCATGAGTTATACTTCGTCAATAGATAATTTATTTTTTATAATTTATATGTAATAAATACGTACAACTCATTTAAACTTTATAATGAAGGCATTACATTGATCATTTATTTATTTTTATGATAAAATGAAGGGAAAAACAGTGGGTGTGATTGTGGAAGAAAGAAAATAAGGCAAAGAGAGAAACGGTAGGTAATGGAGAGAGAGAGAGAGAGTAGAGTGGACAGATGAAAACAAAATTGAAAAGTCAAATGTCAGCGTTGCCGTGGATGGCAATTTTGGTTAAATTTCATCCCCACTGCCAAGTGCACTTTATAAAAGAAACAGAACAGAATCTCCATTCATTCACTTCAAAATCAAATCCCAATGCCAATGGCTCCTCCTTCTCCTTACATTAACATTATCATTCTCTTCTTAATCTCCCTTCTCTTTCACACCGCATTCCCCAACACCATCACTCTCCCCCTCACTCCTCTCCTCACCAAACCCCAATTCTCAGATCTCAAACACATCGCCTCCGGCTCACTCACCCGGGCCCACCACCTGAAGCACCAGAGGAACAGCAACAGCAGCAGCACCACCACCCAAGTGTACGCCAAAAGCTACGGAGGGTACTCCATAGATCTGAGCTTCGGAACACCAGCCCAAAAAACCCCCTTCATCTTGGACACAGGAAGCAGCCTGACATGGTTCCCCTGCACCCTCCACTACATCTGCTCCCACTGCGCCTCCATCAAAATAAAAACTTTCCTGCCCAAGCTCTCCTCTACCGCCAAACTCCTCGGCTGCACAAACCCCAAATGCTCCTACCTCTACCCCTCACTCTCCCACTGCAACCAAACATGCCCCCCTTACATCCTCCAGTACGGCTCAGGCTCCACCGCCGGCATCTTACTCCTCGACAACCTCGATTTCCCCAAAACAACCGTCCACGATTTCCTCGTCGGCTGCTCCATCCTCTCCATCCGCCAGCCCTCCGGCATCGCCGGCTTCGGCCGCGGCAACGAGTCCCTCCCCTCGCAAATGGCCCTCAAGAGATTCTCCTACTGCTTAATCTCCCACAACTTGGACGACTCAGCGCAAAGCTCCGACCTCCTTCTACAAACCACCTCCTCCGGCGACACCAAAACACAGAACCTCACCTACACGCCTTTTAGCCACAACCCCTCCTCCAACAACTCCGCCTACAAAGAGTACTACTACGTTCCCCTCCGCAAGGTCCTCGTCGGACCCAACTCCGTTAACATTCCGCTTCACTATCTGGAGCCCGATTCCGAGGGTAACGGCGGCACCATTGTCGACAGCGGTACCACCTACACTTACATGGAAAGACCCATTTACGATTCGGTGTCTCGGGAGGTTGTGAACCAGTTGGGGAACTATTCAAGGGCTAAGGGCATCGAGGCCCAATCTGGGTTGAGTCCCTGTTATCATGTTTCCGGCGTCAAGAACCTCACTTTCCCCAGCTTCACTCTTCAGTTCAAAGGCGGCGCCAAAATGAAGTTGCCGCTTGCAAATTATTTCTCGCTGATTCAGAACTCCAACGTTGTGTGTTTCACCGTTGTCTCCGACGATGGCTCCGGTCCGGCGAATATGACGGGTCCGGCCGTCATCTTGGGGAACTATCAGCAGCAGAATTTCTTCATTGAATTTGATTTGGAGAATGAGAGGTTCGGCTTTCGGCATCAGAGTTGCAACAAGAAACATTAGTTTAGTAAATGTTAGTTAAATTAACACCAGAGGATTGGAGTTCAAGTACGTTGTTGTTCGTTGTTCGTTGTTCGTTGTACCTGCGGAGCAGCGATCACCATATATTGTTATTATTATTTATTTATTTGTCGTGGGGTGGGGGTTAATGCCGAAGAAATAACTCATTGATTTTTATATATATACATATATATATTTAATAATTCTAGGGATGATGAGAATAATTTTAAATAAATATTATATATGATTAATTCATTAATCATGTATATTATTTAGTTTCATGAGCGACTTTTGTGGGCTACTATACATTATATTCTTTTAATCTCTTTTTAGCTAAATGAGCATTTTGATTTTCACAATGGGATGGATTCCCTTCCATGTTCTCTGTGAAAGTTGTCTTTCATGAAAGGTACAGCGCTGGCTTCTTTAATTATTCTTTCAATTATTTGCGATTTTTGTTTGTTCTCCGACACATGGAGAAGTAGCCTAGCTGCCTTGTTATTTGGTACAGGTATTTTTCTATGAAAGTAGTATTATTTTGTGGATGATCACCGACAGAGTAAAAGTTAAAGCCCATGTCATAATTGGAGTTAGTTTGCTCATGATCACTCTAGCTATTTCATGGCATGTGAGTTATCCCAACACTACTCCTCGTGCAGGTTTTTGATAAACAGCAGCTTAAGTTATTCTCTCTCTTTGATATTTGTGTGATTTATTTATATTTACAGGCAGGCAACCAAATTGGTCCCATTCACTCCCATTGTTAGTTGAATACATATTACAATGTTATTTTTTCCCGAATTTGTGTGGTCATTATTTATTCTAAGTTCAATCTATTAAAAATATTTTAAGACTTGTTTGATAATAAAAATTTAATCAAAATCCAACAGCAATTTAATCCCCAACCATTTATGAAAGATTTGATAACGAGTATGATTTTACCTAACAATTACTTTCTTGACTCGAGACAGCCGTGAATATTAGTTAATAAAAAGACATTTTAGACTTTTACATTTCACTGATAAATGTATATATAATATTTGTTTTTCTCATTTAGCAATTTTAATTTAAATAAATAAATAAATATATATATAATATATAATATAATATAAACATCGCAACTAAAAGTTTTTAATTCAAATAATTCAATATTTATCTTTTCTAATTAAGAATCGAAGCTTAATTTTTATCTTAAATATGAAATTGTGACCAAAAATATATTTTATTTTTATAGGACCGACATTAGATTCAATATGTTTTATTTGAGTTTCTACTTTTTTTTAGGGGAATAAGATTATGTCATTTCATTTAATATAATTGGAATAATACATGAAGGAATAAATTTAAAAATGTGAAAGCTAGCATAACGTCGTGACGCCCTAGCTAAACAGTGAGCGACCCGATTGGCTTGTCTCGGAATGAACTTTAGAGATAAGTTTGGATGATTGTGTAGCAATCTTCTACACTTATTAAGAATAGACCCATATTTTGAGTGGTGCGATTGAGTCCTGGATAGAACGTCAATGATAGATTTACAATCCAACTCAAGGGTTACGTGGGTGAGGCTCAAAGTTACTATCCTTTGGATGGCTATAAGTAGAGTTGTAACTTTAGCCTCATGAACAGGTGGAAGGCCATGAGCCCAACCAGTTTTGGCTGCGAGAAAATGTCCATGTTCATTTCAAATGCACATGCTATACCCAAAGCAGGACAAGTCCTGAAGAGAGCAACGTCAATATTGCACGTAAACGTTCCTACACGAGGCTTTTTCCAGATAGGAGGGATCCTTTGTGTTGACGGTCTTGCTTGTGCCACCTGCCAATCCCAAAAATGTTGCTTTGCTTGTGAGATGGCTACACCTGAAGGTGGGGCGCCCTGATCCCAAACCTTAGCATTCCGATGCCTCCAGATACAACTAAGCATGACAACGACTTCAACAATATGGCTTTGAGTTATGCTGCCAAGTAAGAAAAAAATGACCTTTACAATCCCTTCACCTACATCTACTATGGGTTTAATATGCTGCCATATGTCAATTGCTTGTCATACGGTATGTGCTTCTTGACAACCAAAGAATATGTGCCAATTATTTTCTTGTGCAGCTTCACAATGGGGACAGAGGGAGGTACAAGGGACTCCCTTTTGCTTAATGTGTTGGCGTGAAGGAAGACAACCTCTAAGAAGTCTCCAAAGAAAGATTTTCATGTTATGTGGAATAGGTAGAGCCCATAACTTTTTCAAATTATAAAAGATGGTCAATTAAGTTACTTGATAAAAATTAGTCGTTAATCATTAACAAAGTTCATGAATATTTTGTACTAATAACATAATTATCCTCCCAACTTAAAAAAGAAACATGGCATTGTATTGGGCAAGGTCAAATACTTCTAGAAGTCAAAAATATCTCTAAGGATAACATACTCTCTAGAGGTCATTCTAATCCAACCGATAGGTATTTAACTATTGGTGACAAGACTAAATGTTAACATTTATGTGATCCATTATTGTCATTAATGACAAAGGTGATTTTTTCATTATGAAGTTTAAATGAGTTGTAACTTATTTATCACATATCAATTATAGATTTTTGTTGTCTATTAAAGAGTTATAACTCCTACCTACCGGGTTTATAAGATGAAGTGATACTTCTAGATGGGACTCCATGTCCAAACCAAGGATTGAACCTTAATTCTTAGTTAAAGAATACAAGTGTTGAATCACTTTAGCTAACAACTTTTGATCATATAAATCATAGATAACTCAATTATAAAGTACATAAATTAAACCTTTTATACTAATTACCTACAAAATTGTCATCTCTCTTATTTGAGTGTAAAGTGTCATTATAAGTACCTTACCCATCTAGAAGATTTCAAAACTTATATATGAAGGGAGAAAGGAAAGTTTTTGACTTTTCAATGGAGTCTAGAAGCTACCCAACTTTTTTTGGTCCATGAACTAACCACGAAGCATGACCGGTCATGACATTTCATGGGTTATGAGCGAAACAATAAATATGTAACGTATATAAATAATTTTAAATGTAAATATTTATAGCATGAAAATATTTGTGATTTAATTAAGGCTTAATATATCATTTGATTTATGATTTTTTTTGAGTTTTAATTAGGTCTTGAACTTCTTTTTTTGATAATTTGGTATTTCATTTTTTTTTATAATTTAGTCCCTGTGATTAAAGTTGTGTTCATAATTCGTGATATTTAATTTGATATAATATTTTTCTATTTTATTGTGCTTAGAAAACCATATTAAATTACTATCCAATGTTATCATTCATGCATATTAAGTTTTAAACTCCGCTAGTTAAAATGTCTTACTATTCTATAATTTGATATGATTAAAGAGATTATGAAAAATTGTTGTAGGTAGACATGTACAGTGATATATGAAATAATAAACTGAGGTGACTGTGCATATATAATAATATTAAAAAAATGTCATATATATATATATATATATATATATATATATATATATATTTCATCATGATATTAAAAAAATGTCATATAAAAAATGGGTCCCTCTTAATCATGAACCCTAAGTGGTTGCCCATGTAATCAAGGTCAAGGTTGGAAGTTGATAATCAAAATCTAACCCACACTTGTGAGCGTGACTTCTGTTGACCAAACATTATTTTAATACGCCTTAAATATGTTTTTAGTATGAGTGTAAGCAAGTTGAGTTGAATTGTATTTGGATTAATTCATTACCCAACTTGATCAAAATTCAACAAGTTAGATTTAAACGAGTTTATGTATTTTTTTAAAAGTTTAACCCAACCTAACCCAATTAAGAATATATTGAATTGTCACTAGTGGAAAAAGGAACTATTACGTCTCTTCATTTACGTCGGAAACTAGCACACCCCGACGTTGTATTAATTTACCCAATTTGATAATAAATGTAAATTATTTGATATTTTGTTACAAATACAATGTTATCAATCAATAAAATAAATAATAATATAAACAAAACTTCAAAATAAATTTTAAAATAGTTGATAATATAATTATCTCAATTGGTGACTTAAAAGACTAAAATAATATTTTAAAAAATTACATAAACTAATAATGATAGTTTTAAATTTGAGAAATTAAAAATAAATTTATTTTAATTTTAAGAATTAAAAATATTTTAATATTTTAATACAAATAAGAATTAAATATGAAAATATTAAGTCGAACCCGTGTCTAGGAGAAACTTTACAATCGTTGGTCTAATGGGTTTGAAAACACCCAATTTTTCATAAGTACATCTATTTTTTAAATAAATAAAACCCCAAATTAATAATTCACTTTAAAAGTTCAGTAAAAAAATGACTTTAAATTAGCTAATCATAATTGATGCTTAAATATTTGCACATTATAAAAGTTAAAGGGTAAAATTATATTGTAATTACTAGTTTTGATAAAATTATCAATTAATGTTATGATAAAATATGAATACATGCATAACAAGTTATATTTAAAAAAATCTCAAAATACAGTCTCTTATTTAAAATATTAATTAATTATTATAAAACTTATATATTATTCTAAAAAATGTACTTTTTTAGTTAAAAAACAAACTTTTATACTTTTTTTAAATTTTAACTCCTCTAGAATAAGTAATATAATTTTAAATAAAAATAAAAATAAAATAATTATATATCGTAAGGAACAAAATATCCCGAAGATCAATTTCTCTTCTCAATCAATTTTTTTTTCTATCCATAGTACTCAAATTTGAAGCTTTACTAAAGACATATGAATCTAATTTCTAATCAAACCAACATGTTTACATATTTTAAACAAATTAATAATTTGTTACACATGCATATATGTATTTTATGACAAGGTTCGTTGTTAATATATATTAGTAAAAAAAATATTAATTTCATGTGCACTCACTATTTCAACAAAATTTAAATACTTGTGGTGATGAAAAATTTGTATTAATACAATAGTAAACAAAAATTAAAAAAATTAAGAGAGATGCTAAGAATATTAACTCAAAGTTCATGCCACACAATTAAAATTGACGTCAGAAAAATATTAAATAATTGTTTGACAACATATAATAAATCTGTTTAGACTCTTTATAAAAAAGAAAGAAAAAAAATAGAAGAAGAAGAAAGTTTCGAGTACAAAGAACGCAGAACGTGCATTACATGGAAATAGCCGTCGAAAGAAAGAGTCAAGTTAATAGACCTGTTTAGTTTCTTTCTTGCAAGCTAAGTTCTTTTCGTTTTCAAGAAGAACTTTTGCCCTTTGTTAAAGGTCGAGAAAGATACTGGAAAGTTTTGCTTTCAAGGATTTAATGACTCCCAAGAAACACGTACGTACGCTAGATAATTAAAAGAAAACAGCACATAACTTTTTATAAATAGAAGGAATCGACTTTGTAGAAGAAACAAAAATGGTTGGCATATCCACAAGGGACACACGTTGCTGTGTTTATAGTGCGTTGTAGGTTTAATTGAACCACCCCACATTAGTTAATGGCTAATGCAATAAACTCTATATATTTGGTTCCGTATTGATTGAGTTCATGAACTCCCATTTTGTCCAGTTCAATCAAGCATTCAATTGCGCGGTTTCAAAGTCTGTGCGCGTTGTACGGTAGGTGGCAAATGCTAAAATTAAATTAAATAAAAACTAATTAAAAACAAACAAAAAAAGTAAAGGAATTTTGCTTTTTCTTGCTAACATTTTGCGTCTTTGAATTGTATACATTCTTTACGCCCGTCATGGGGTGGTTTAGTCGCGTTATATGGATGGAATTTCACATTATGGAACACAAATGGAAAAAGTACATGCATACCGATGGGAATGGATATTTATTTCTTATATAGTTTTATATATAAAGGTCAAATGAAAATTTCATGTTTATGCGCGAAAGATACAAAATTTAATTTGACATTACAAAATGACGTAGAAATCTGACAGAATGACAGAAAGGATATTCATCCTTGATAATTGGTTGGAATTAACGAAAAACTAAGAGTGGAGCTGGAAAATGTAAATGGGCATGATAAGACCAGACATGGGGTTCCCTTACCCTACATGGAAACATGCATGTATGCTACATAACGACGTACGTACCAATCCTATTTGTTCTTGTAACCACATGCACATGCCTTAGTAGTTGTTGACTCTTCTGGTTTATTTCACCTACAATACAAGAATGCACATGTTCACGTATGATCATAGCATTAATAACCGTGAATCCTGGATCATATAAAATGTGAGAATGTGAGGGACTCTGTGCCTTTACATCCCTTGTCCTGCCCTACAACGCTATAATTGAGAATTGGATCGATTTGTTTCATCAAATCTCTAATCCAGTATTTTGTCATCCTGAACTGAATTTCACCCCATCCTATGTGTAGGCTATAGCTAGTTCAATACTATGACACACTAAATTATTTTGAAAATAATTTACAATTAATTTCAAAATTAATGTTTCTTTCACACCCTCAAAGGGCTGTATACAATATATATGAGATAGAAACAAAGGAGAGAAAGAAATAAACATAAGGTAAGGTCTAATGGTGATACACTTTCAATATAAAAAGTTATACATAATCAACAAATAAAAAATCACTTGAAATATAATGAAATAAAAAATGTATACCTAGTATAAAAGTTAAAGTACAGACAACTGGGTTTACTTTATTTTCAGGTCACTATATATCTAAATATATTTTTAATCTTTATAATATATTCGTTTTATGTTTTTATTGATCTGTATAAATTTTGTTTCACAATTTTAGCTTTTATAAAATTGTAAACATTTTCAAATTGGTTTCTTTTATATTAGAAGATATTGGTTTTAGTCCCTATTATTTAAGAAACTTGATTATTGTTAGTTCATAACTGAACAGTGATAAGAATAAAATCGTAAAATAATTTTGTATAGAGATCAAAACAATAAGAAAAAAAATATATTTGGGCACTTTATTTGTTTTATGATTTTATCGTATCAATTTGTTGTATTTTAAATAAAATTTTACCCTGGCTACTAAAACCAAAACTTAATGGGTTTGACTTTTACTCTGACTACTGATACTAAAACTTGATGGGCTTAACTTTTACACTGGTTACTAAGACCAAAAGTTTATGGGCTTACCACGTAAGGATTATTTGGGTTTCGTAAGCCCACATATCACCCCTAATTGGAGTAAAATCAGTCCAATTCGCCCACATGCGAACCTTATTGTTTTTAAGATCATATCATGCTCTTCAACATTTCAATGCTTTTTAATATCATTTTTAACTATTTTCATTCCATTTTTTTTTTATAAGTTTTTGTCATTGGTCTTATTTTCAATATACATTAATTTTCTTAATTAAAACATGTTTCAATATTTCCCTATTTTGTTAATCTCTTTAAAATTATTTATATTTTACTATTTTCAATTTTTTGAAAACTATACATCATATAAAAAACTTTAATTTTTTTATTTATTTTCATAATACTCTATATTTTAAAATGCAACAATGCTATTTTTGTATAATTTATTTTTGTAAGGAGAAGATAAATATACTAGAATCCTATACATAAAATTATATACATCAAAGAGTAAGTACTGTATACAAAATAGACTCTGATTATATGTCAAGCATCAACACAAAATAATTGCATCAGAATAGCAACAACTAAGGAAAGTCAGTCATCTCCTACATGACCCTCCATTGCCATACAAGCCACTAGTTAATCGAAACTTGTTTCCATACTAAATTTGATCATCACAGTTTTAATCGTAAAGGAAATAACAAATGGTAAACTTGTGAAATAAAAATAACATATAAACACAACACCAATGTCACGTGAACAACGTAAACAACATCAATTTCAACTTGTTACTAATACTACTCATACAATTTACAACATAAAACAACTTAAACATCTTCATTTTAACAATATATATAATCATCTTACAATAATATACAAATAACGCGTCATCACACATCAACTAAGGAGATCTTTCACAACGGGAGTAAACAGTTTAAATGGTTAGACTTCATGAATCACAACATTTAACTTATCGCAACCAGCAGGTCAAGTATAAATAACTTCAAGCCTAATAGAAAACCTGCTTAACAACTTAATTTGATTTTTCAAATTTTGTCACTTAAACTATGAAGTCTAGTCTTCCTGTTATAAATATTCAACTTAAATTTTTATACTTTAATGAAATAAAAGCTCGAGGAGCCGGATCACCAAAACTACCGACCCAAAGATATAAATTAATTAGCAATTGAAATACGAGGCACCTGTTGCAGTTAACCAAACACATGATCGATAGATTAGAATAAGGGTATTGACAAGGTCAGCCACCATCTCCACCATCCAGAATTTTTCTTATGTCGGGTTGAACTCTTATATGTAAAATTGCAACCATTGGATTTATATAAGCAACTGCATTGATGAAAACAGTACTTAAATCCAAATTGATTAAATATTCGCGCAAGAAGGGAAACTTTATAGTTAGAGAGCATATGAAATTTCTTTTCCTTTAATTTAATTATTTCCTCATATATGTCAACGTTATTTCACTATCATGCAAGAAAAACTAGGGATATGGTGTAGAAAAGTCAATTATAATTTTGACTTATATTATATATAATTTTTTTTTATATATGTATAGCATTTTCTTATTTTTTTTTATCTTTTTTATTTAAAAATTATACTACTAGGATTCAAATATTTTTAAATTTTTAAATTTTTCACAATAGAAATTTATTTCATTAGTTGTTTTGCAATAATCTCATTTTCCCATCGTCATCATTTCTATATATGTTAGTAAAATCCATAATTAATATATCATGTTATGGCTGTGTAAAAGTCGGGTGAAAAGAGTAAGCAAAATGAAAAATAATATTCAGACATTCATTTGTAAGAAATATATTAAGTGATATCATATGTCAAAAAGAAAGATAAGTAAAAAAAAAAATGAAGTCAAAGAGAGGTAGAAATAATATTATACAGACATATGAATATTAATACAAGACTGAAGTAAAATTGCCTCAAATTCTTGAATAGAGTTTTCTTAAGGAGAAAAATTAATCAGGCATAGCATTTTAGATATATTATATTATTTTATAATTAAAAAAAAATGGTTTACTTTAATAATTTATTTGAGTTAAGATGTATGAATTATTTTCCGTAATTATTTAGAAGCCATGTATGGCATTAGGTTCTGTTTGGGGTGAGGCGCAAGGAGGGCGAGAAAAGACTAGAAGAGTGTTAAAGAAAAATAGAAAAAAGTTATTTATTAACAAATAAGAAGTGTGACATAAATAAATAATAAAGCGAAAATTCCGTGGAGTGAACGGAATGGCAGGCTGGCAGGAGCAGGATATAGTGAAGGTGTAGGAGAGTATGTCCAAAGTCCAAAGTCCAAAAGAAAGCAATAAAGAAATATGAATATGGGTCGGGTGGTGTGGAGTGGATCCGAGTCGGAGTCCATCACTATCAGTGATCATAGTCGCACTTGGTGGTCTGAAAGACCCCGGCGGTTCCTTGCAAAGGCACTTGCAAGTCGCAGGAAACTTTGGGCTTGAGAGTCATGGTCTTGAGCAAGCCCAACTTGAACCTGACTCTGAGGTACATCTTGACATGGATGGGGTACACCCTGGTGGCGTTGTCCTTCTTGAATAGGGAGGTTTGGTCAGCGGTGAGTGGCAGGACCTGTTGACCCTTGAAGACGGTGCTGATGACGTTGGTGGACTTGTGGCCCTGGTAGAAGGGGCTGGGTAGCTCCGTGTCGAACCTCGCATCGTGGTACAGTGCGCGCGCCTCGATGCGGTCGTAGTAGATCCCCACCCTCTTGTTGGGGTTGCGAACGCTCACGTTTAGGGCCAGGTCGTAGTGGAGCGTGTTCCCCGTGTAGTTGAACTGCGTGAGGGTGGCGTCGGTCACGTGGAATTTCACCACGTTCGGACGGACTATCAGCCACACCAGAAACACGGCGATGCCAACTATGATGACCACGCTCAGGATCAGCTTCAAGATGAGGCTGAAGAGGCAGCCGCAGCAGCCCCCGCACCCTCCGCCCCGCCCTGGACGCTCGTACGACTTCGCCGGCTGGATGGCCGGGCCGTAGAAGGCTCCGTTCAACTCGGGTTGTTTGCCGGACATGGCTGATTGTTTGATATCAGTGAGAATAGGAAAGAATGGAAGATGATATGAATACAAGACTCCAGTGTGCTTTTATACACAAGTGTGGGTAGGAGATTAGGAAAAGCGCGTCATAGTCTACAAACTACAAACTACAAACCTAACCGCCCACGAAAGGTAACACTTAATTAATCATTAAACACTTCTAAATAATCTATCATATATACTTGCAATTTTTCATCCTATCACTATCATTCATATAATTCTATGTATATATATATATATAATTTTTTTTTCCTTTCTTTCTTTCTATTTTATTGATGGCTGTAGAACTATTTAATTATATTTTTCTATTTTATTGATGGTCGTAGAACAATTTAATTATATTTCTACGGTAGAATTGGTTCATTAGGTTAGATTAGATAATTTTTAAGTTATTTTGTTATATTTGAGTTGAGTAGGTGGATAATAATAGTCAATTCATAATAAATTACTAAATTATATTAAAAATACTACATGCATAACATATTTTTCTGACATATATTTAATTTATTTTTTTTCAGAAAATATTGTAGTAATAAAGTGATTGGCTAAAATGAATTAAGTATATTCTTTTTGTTATTAATTTGTTTCAATTTTTTAAAAATGTATTTGTTATTAATCATTAAATCAAGCCTAATTGTAGTTAAGTTAGATTAAGTCACTTTAAAAAAAAATTACAAATTCAATCTTAAGTTTTATTTGGTTGGATATTGTTCTAATGTAAGGAATTGCAATTGAAGAATCTTTAACTATAAAAATGTTAAGAAAATCTAGCAACTATCATAGTCTAGATTAAGATTCAATAAGACTTGGTTACCCCTATATATAAGTGTGGTGTTCAGAGGCGGATCTTCTTGGTGACATGGGGAGTCACGGCTCCTCCAAATTTTTTTTTTAAAAAAAATATATATTTAATATTATATTTGTATGATTATTTTATGAAATAATTAGTGAATGAATAAATTTTTGAGATTTCATTATCATGTATGTTCAATTTGAGTAAAAAAAATGAGGAATATTTTTTTAATTAATAAAAAAAGTAATTTATATATAAAAAGATTAATTTGGCACCTTCAAATTTTTTATCTAAGTTCCGCCACTGTTATGTTATAGATCTAAATCTCGTATTTCTTGTTATGATTTCGCAAATTTTGTCATATTGTCATTGTTATTAATAGGTCTACAATCCTAGTATTTACAATAATTATATTGTCTATCGTGTGATTTCACTATTAATTATTCACTAGAGAAGATAGGTAGTCTAATATCCGAGTGTTCTCATGTGCTTGAGAATTCTCTTAACTTAATGGAGATCCCACCTCCCCCACCTCTACATGTCTCCCTTTTACTGATCTTGGTATTTAGGGTCATGTCACTAAAGGATAGAATATGATTATGTTATGGCTGAGAATATATGTATTCATATAAGGAATTTTTTGAAAACTAATCTTTTAATAATGAAATGATTTACTAAGTGAAAAATTATTATGATATAAATATTAAAATAGTTCAAATACTAGCAATCTTCACTCCTAATAAAAATTGTAATAATTTAATTTTTCAACAAAAAATTTCTATTGAATTAATTTAAAGTAAATGCTCGTGGAGTATTTATTTTATTTTTATTTTTTAAAAAGTGATGTTGTGGAGGTGCGAACTGCGGCGGACGTAGGTGAGTTTCAAAACGCGGTTGCTTTTGCATCTATGAATTGTGCGATTGGCCGTTACCGTGTGCGTCCTAAATTGAAAATTGTGCGTTCACTGTACTGATTCGCCGAAACTTCTTAGTTCCCACTGCCAAAGTCCATTGACTCTTAGCAAGCTTTCCTTTTCACGTTTTTCAGCTTTACATTACCTTTTTTTTTTTTTTTCCTCTTTTCATAGTCGGTACTAATTATTTTCTCGTATCACAGTAGTTGTCCTTTAATTTTTTTATATATATATGTTTATTTAAAATATTAGATATATTTAATATCAAACAATAAATATAACCAAAATTAAAATAATTAAATTTTAAAAAATAGCCATATACAACTTAATGAGATAATAGCTACAATATTAATATCTATTATAATTGGCGTTAACGACGGGCAACCTAATTAAATTGCTTTTGTAGCAATAGTTTCCTTCTACTTTGTAAACTAGCTACCAGTAGAATATATTTCGTGTCAGTCATTGTCAACGCGTCATGTGGAAATTTAAGTTTCAATAGCAGCAATTTTTTCTCTTTTGGTAACTAATTAAATACCACGAAGCGACACAATTTGCTAATCAAATACCTCGTGGTGTTTTTCAATTATACAAATGTCATGTCACACAGGTAGATAACAGTCGATCAAAATTTTCAATCGTGCGAAATTTAAAGTATTCATTTCTTTACATAAAGTTCTTGTTTAAAGTGGATCAAATTTACGGCAAGGCTTTGATTTTAGACTAAATTACTAATAAACATTCTCTGGTGTTTTGTAAAATTATACTGATATTCCTGTATTTTTTTAACGTTTACTGTAATTTTCTTTAAATAAGATTGTAATGTACTAGTAATACTTTTCAAGAAATTAAAAAATTAATGTTTAAAATGTTTTTTAAACAATTAAAAAATATTATAAAAAAGTGTCTGGAATTTCATAAATTTCATCAGTTGAATTTATTCCTGATTCTACGTTTCTATGGCTCGATCGGTTGGTACTAGTATGATTTTATACTTCTATATATTAAGAATGCATTTCTTGGTACTATAGGACATCAATTCTTGTTATTTGTCCAAAGCGAAAAGTTGGTGCATGTAAGAACAAAAGTTTACAAATGTAAGCCAAAATAAATGAACTTGAATTTATTTTATAAGCTCAAGTTTTAAAAGTAATGTTGATTTTGCTTTCATTTGAAATCTGGTTTTTAAATCAAATATTGGTATGCAAATCAACAACTAGCATCTTAAAAGACACCACAATGTCTAAATTATCAAACCCACCAGAAACCATCGTGTAATCGAGCTTTCAGAGCCAAAGTCCATCGTCTTTTTTCCTCTCGTTGAGCTTTGAAATGTCAAGAATTGGAATCGAGGGAAGCTTTGGCATTGTAAAAAATTTTATGGTAATAGTTGAAACAAGACGAAAAACTTCAAGCGTGGAGCTTGGTTGGAGTGGCAAAATTTTCATAGGAATCGTTGAAACGAGAATAAAAAAAAAGCTTTCACACCACCATTTTCACATTACATAACCACTCTTGCTACTCATCATTTGATGTCATGATCATTATTTTTACAGTCACTTGTTGGATCCTTAATTTAACATTGATCTTATATATATGAATAATTATTTATTAAGAATATGTAAAATTATGTCAAATTAAAATAATCTAATAATATATAAATTATTTGAATAGTTGTGTATTTAAAAGGATATAAGACTTTTAATATGTGGTAATTAATATGTAATTTTATTTTGTGATAGGTAAAAATAGAAGTCCTAAAAAACCTTATAATTGTTTATAAATAAGTTAGGTTTCTAGATTAAATAATGTTCTTTTCTTTTCTAACATTTTACTATGAGAGAAAAAGATAGAGAGATAACTAAAAGATTCTCTTAGAGAATACATTTGATTTGGAAGACCAAATCATACCATTTTATTATTATTATTATGAGTTCAAATAAGTTATTATTTATTATTTTTATTGATGAACATAATAGATTCTTAATATAGATGTTAGTTTTTACCAAAAACTTAAGTTTGATTTTAACATCATTATCATCATTTTATAATTTATGATATACATTAAATTTTAATTATTAAATTATTAAATTATTAAATTAAAAATTTGTATTAAATAGCTTAAATTTTACAAAATTTTAAAACTGACTAATGTTTTGTGACATTAATTCAATTGACATATAATATATTTTTACAAATATATATTAATTTAAATTTATATAATAAAATATTAAATAGTTTTTAAACTGTAAAAAATTATTTTTATTTAATAAAATCTTTTAATTTAACAGATACATATATCATCAAATTTTAATATTCACAAAAAAATTCCAGAGTTATACTTAGAGTAACTCGTTCTCCGTCTAAGTATATATTTTACGTTAACCATGGGCAACTAATTAATTACCTTTTTAGCAAGTTTCTTTCTACTTTGTAATCTACTGGTATATATTTCGTGTCGGTCCTTGTCAACGCGTCATGTGGAGATTTAAAATTCAAGAGCAGCAATTTTTCATTTTAGTAACTAATTTATATTTAACTTTTCAACTCATATAGCGGTTATTTAAATTAAATATTAAATTAAAATTTTCAAATTCATGGCCATTGTATTTTCTTCTTTCAAGTTTATAACAGGTCGATGAGTCTTTGTGTTTAAAAAATGAAATGTATTTGGATACTATTTGTTAATATACTCTAATTAACTCTTTACACCAAAAAATTAATAAACATATTTGTTTTAGTAAGCTTACTAAAGAAATGATATAATAGTATAATATTTAATTATTAAAAAATTATGACCCACTAATTAATTTGTCTTGGTGGCAGCATCCTTTTCCTTCCCTAATTCATCTGCTTGGTCGACGAGGGAGTCTCGAAGTTCCTGACGAAGGGCATAAGCTGGTGCAGCGTGCGCTCTACGCATGTGAGCCTCGCATTGTGGCTCCACGCGTGGGCTTCGACGATGTTGCAGTGGAGATCTCCGAGAAGAGGCCGCGGTGCGTTGGTCGTTGGGGTGGGGGACCAAGGGAAAGA